ATAAAGAGGTTTACGCACTAGCTGTTAATTGTTCAAGGAGTAAAGATAACAAATTATTTTATATCAAATAAATATTCTGATGTTTTTATCTGAAGAATAGGCAACCAGTTGTGAAATATGCCAAACTAACAGTGCACAGAACAAAATTACTGCTTGACTGAACTAGGTACGTCAGATCGGCAAAATTTCCCCAAGTCGCCACATTGATAACGTCGTAAAGAGGGACCCTCGTAACTGACCAAAAACTAAATTCACGGACTGAAGTTATAGTAATCTTTAAACAAGCTTCATCGAGATTCGATGTTATCTTCAATCCTCTCCAACTTCATTTCTGGAATCTCCCCTACCCCACGTCACGACAGTACAAATTGCAACGTTAAACGTCCCTTATCTGACGTCATTTGTGTTTAATGATTGACAAGACACTACTGTATAATTGTGTGAGTGGTTAAAACAGGGAAATTACCGTCCTGTGTTTAGCCCTAATACAAGCCACGGCAATGCTCCTAACTTAGTCTTAAAGCCTAAATATTTTGAATGGACTTGTTTTGTGTATGTGTAAGAGATTTTGTTGCATTTAAGTAACACTTTATCAGACTTACCTATGTTTGGAACGTAATTTCTCACAGAGCGATTTTTCTAAATATATATGTCTTCTTTTAAGATAAACGTTTTTTGAAACTTTACCATGAGTTTACCTTAAAAAGACAATATATACCTAGGCCTATTGACCATAAACGACACAGTGTTCTGTGAATTGTGTGTAAGAGTTGAAAAATAATTTAAATTATTAAGTTCTTATCAGGAAAACACTCATGCTTAAAGGTATAGCAATTTATTAAACGTGTTCAATACATAAAAAGTAGCAATAATTTAAATATAGCAAAAATTGAGCAATGGACGTGGTTACAAAATTTTCTCAACTTAAAAACAATTAAAATTTCTAACTCTGGCAAACCAAAGCTAAAGCTTTATTAGTTCAGAAAGTACTTAAATATATTATATATATTTCGTAGCAGCAAGGCTGTACCGATGTTTGATGGCGCCCTCTGCGACATATAAATTTGGCGCCTCCCTAAAAAAATTCTATTTACTTAAAGAAACGTTACACTTTTGAATAACAATACAGCAGTTTTAAGACTAAGTACGATTAAACATATTATAAACTTAGGTGGCGCCACTAACAAACAAAAAACCGTCGTTATGAAATAAATTAACCTCCCACAAAACCACAAATGTTTGCTAGAAATATTCATTATAAGTGAAAAAGATTTAACGTTAGAACAATGACTCAAGCTGAAAGCTGACTTGGCAAGGGTAAAGTTCCATATGCTTTTCCCAGCCGTTTATTTTGAGCGTACTAAATGTTTCTCTAATATAACGACCATGCTACCAAAAACACTGCATACACAATTAACATACGGCATATTATTTTACTTATAGACGTACAACCATTTTAAACTGTATACAGTATCACTATTTTCGTTCAAACGTATCATCTTATTTCATGTGATTACAAGTTACAGTACATAAATTACAAAGAATATGTACCAGACACAGTTAAACCCTCATCGTTTATTATTACAGAAATATCATAAATGTTCCTTAATTACTTCAATCTCTCTCTCACACACACAACAGCCAGAATCTTAATAACTTATATCATATTGAAAATATTTAGGTTTAAAGTTAGAAGCAACACAACAACGTGACGCGTCTTGTCTATCGTTACCTTTTGTTACAGTTACTTAAGAGTTCAGTAACAAGAAAATACTTACGAAGTATGAATAAACGTGTAAGTTAAGGACAGGAATAATTTTTAAATCAAATAAGGATTTAAAAAAAACAGAAAGAAATTAACATCACAGCGATCAGCATATAGTTTCACATCAAACACAAAAGGCCTGACGTTATCAACACCACCAAGTTACTTGGTTAATTCTCGAAACCATCTGAGTAGTTGTTTCTGAAAGGCCTGACGTTATCAACAATACCAAGTAACTGGGTTAATTCTCGAAACCATAAGTAGTTGTTTCTGAAAGGCCTGACGTTATCAACAATACCAATAACAGGATAAGTTCTCGAAACCATAAGTAGTTGTTTCTGAAAGGCCTGACGTTATCAACAATACCAATAACAGAATAAGTTCTCGAACCCATCTGAGTAGTTGTTTCTGAAAGGCCTGACGTTATCAACAACTCCAAGTAACTGGATAAGTTCTCGAAACCATAAGTAGTTGTTTCTGAAAGGCCTGACGTTATCAACAATACCAAGTAACTGGATAAGTTCTCGAAACCATAAGTAGTTGTTTCTGAAAGGCCTGACGTTATCAACAATACCAAG